CAATGATTTCACTCTCCATGAACTTTAACACAAGGTATTCTTAGTTACTCCTCTCCAAAGACCAAACTATTGGCAATTACAACTTTCATAAAATCTCAACTAAACACTCTTAGAGCCTTGCAAACATGTTGGCAAAACACACTGTGTTTGGGTTTCTTGTTGTCCTCTTCAAAGATCATCAAGATCGTCCAGTTCTCCCCTTCTCATCTGTTAGAATTTCTATGACAAGAAGTTTCAACATGAGGAATACTGAAAGCCAAATCAAACATTTCCAGTATTTTAAACAGCTTTGCTTAAAAGTTAATGAGGGAGGAGATGGTTGAGTATTTGCTGAAGAGATTCCAAATTTCTCTGCTGGAGTATATTACTGTCATCTCCCACTTTCAGTTCACTCCATCTTGAGGTTACTTTCTTTCATTCATTGAAGAGTTCAACACCTGGCTCTCTCAAGTGTAGTCATTCTCTCTGAAACTACCATTGTCATGCTTGTTGATTTTAACATTCATTCTAAGTAGTCATCCCAATACCCAGCCAGTCACACCCATGGTATCAGCCTGCTAGGACTACCAAAACTAATACTGCAGAGTAGGTGTCTTAAACAACAAAAAATTTATTTCTCACAGTAATGGAAGCTATAAATCCAAGTTCAAGATGTCAGTAGGTTTGGTTTCTCTTAAGACTTCTCTTCTTGGCCTACTGATGGCCACCAGAAGGTGTGTCCTCCTATATGGCCTTTTCTCTGTGCACAAGCACCCCTGGTAGCTCCCCATACAATCACTTTTTTTTTCATTGCTTTTAGGGAGAAGAAGAGTGGAGAGAGAAAGAGAAAAAGAGAGAGAAACATCAATTGGTGGGGACCAAACCTGCAACCCAGGTATGTGCCCTGACCGAGTATCAAACCCACAACCTTTTGGTGTATGGGGTGATGCTCCAACCAACTGAGCAACACAGCCAGGGCTCAAATTTGTTCTTATAAGGACACAGTCAGGTTTGATTAGGTCCCACCCTAACAGCCTCATTTTAACTTAATCACTCCTTTAAAGGCTCTGTCTCCAAATAGAGTCATATTCTGAGGTTATGGGAATTAGGGTTCCAACATATGAATTCTGAGAACACAATTTGGCCTATAACACACCTTTAGACTTGATTGTCATCAATTCATAACTGATCTTAATCTCAGATTCTAGGATCCCACTTCTTAATCACTGGATTTTATCTTTCTAGTTCTTTCCTCTCTACTACATACAATCTGCAAATTTATTTCTCACAGTAATGGAAGCTATAAATCCTCAGGTTCTCTCATATTCTTACTCAGGTTCTCTCATATTCTTACTCAGAGTAAGTCCTGCTGTCTGTCATTATAATCACCCTCTTAAATAATTCTTGATTCCTTCATCCCTCTCTCTTCATGAAACTTGCCTGGCAAAGTCCCAATCCTGGCTGATTCCAGCCTTCTCACCACTCTGCTCACACCTCTGCTGCTGGACTTAGCTAGGAAGAACACTTGACTGCACTTCCCAGTCTCACTATAAATTCATGACCTCCAGTGGGCCCTCAGTGCCTGCTAGCCATCCTGCCACATTTCTTAGGTAACTGTTTCAGACCTTCTTTTCTCTCTCTAAATCTCTAAAATCCTCTCCCCGTCCTCTTTCTCTCTCTGCAGATAAACTTTTGTTCTGTTTCTCTGAGCATGCAGAGCAATCAGAAGTTCCCACTACCTCCAACCCCATGTGCTGTGTCTTCCCTTCTGTTACTGGGACTGAACTGCCTATGCTGCTAAGGCCAGCGCCCCCATCTGTGCACGCACTCCCACCCAGCCCCTCCTCATTCACTCAGGGACACTCACTGTGCCAGCCATTCTTCTCTCTCTGTCTTGGATTGTCAATCCCCACCGCCCTGCCCCACACCCCAACAAAAACATTGCTGTCAGTATACAAACATGCTATGTTTCCCATTAAACTTTCCCCCTTGACTCCTACTTTCCTTCCAGCTAATTCCTCTGCTCTCTTTTATAGCAAAACTCTCCAAAAACATCACTTCTTTCTGTCTCCAATTTCTCTCTTCCCTTTCCCTCATGAACTCATGAGCCTCTTATGTCTATCTCACCATTACAGCTCCTCTTATTAATGTCATTGGTGTGTTTCTCATTGTAAATCCAGCAGCCAATTCTCAGCCTTCCCACATGACTGCTCTATTGGCAGTGCTTGACTCAGTGGATCACTTCTTCCTCAACTAGAAACTCAACTTCCAAGATAAGCCCCTAGTTTTTCTTCCTACTCACAGGCCACTTCTTAGCCCCCTCATTTCCCCAAACTCAATTCATTGGACTGCCTACAATTTAGTCTTCAGACCACTTTTCTCTCTATACTCACTCTCATAGTGTTTCATGGCTTTAAATGCCATTTATATGCTGGCAACTCTCATATACTCCTCCCCAGACCACTTCTTTGAACTTCATATTTGTGTATACAAATGCTTAACTGGCATGACCATTTGGATTTCTGATGTTATCTCCAAACTGAGGATGCCTGAAACTGACCATCTCATCCTCCCCTTCTCAAACCTGCTCAACCTGCTCATTTCAGTTAATGATAACTTCATTTTTCCATTTGCTCAGGTCCCAAACTACATAGCCATCTTTGACTCCTCTCCTCTTACATTCAATCTGATCTGTCACCACATACTTGGCTCTAACTTCAAAATATGTACACAATGCAGCCTTTTCTCGACACCTCTGCTACTGCCTTGAGGTCTGATCCCTTATCTTCTGTGGTAAGACTGGATTGTGGAAATGGCTTCCAAACTAATCTCCCTTCTTTCACACCTACCCTCCACAACCTATTCACAGCACAGCAGCCAGAGTGAGCCTTTTAGCATATTCGGTCATTTTTCTACTCAAAACTAACCTCAGATATTACTGTTCTTCCCCTCCCACACTTGGCTCCAGCCACAGTGGCCTCCCTGCTGTGGCTTACTTCTACCTCTGGGTGTTGGCACACTTGCTCCTCTCTCTGCCTGTAATGCTTTCCCTCAGGTTCTCTGCATGGCTCAACTTCCCCCAGATCTTTGCTCTCTTCACCTCCTCAGTAAGGTCTTCCCTAACCACCCTGTTTGAAATAACATCCGTATCCTTATTCTCTGGCACTCTTGGTTGTCTTTTCCTGATTTATTTTAGCCACACTTATTACTACCTGGTAAGCCATATGCTTTACTTGTGCACTTTTTTATGGTTAGTCTTTTCTATAGTAGACTGTAAGCTCCATGAGGGCCAGGATTCTGTACTGTCTTGTTCAGTGATTGCTCTTCAGCTCTAAGAACAGTGCCTGACACATAAGAGGCACTCAATAAATATTCAGCCAAAAATGTTGTTGCTCTCCCTATCTTTCCAAGGGCTCTAGTAAATATAATTGTAGGTTGCTTCTATGTCCCCAGGGAAAAAATTTTAGTGATGAGACTTTGTTGACACACTTTGCTTAAAAACACTAAAGGAAAAATTTTCCTTTCATCAGGGGATGCCAAGAAACCTCTTTGGAACCTGTTAGAGTCTAAGATTGCTAGTTCCTAGGTTTGTTTGGTTTCAATCTAAAAGTGGTTCCAAGCATCTCAATTTCTTAAAAAAGTATAAGTATAATACAACTTAAAAGCATTTACATGAAAACATTTTTATTCTCTTGAATTATAAGTATGTATGTTATATAGTATCAATATTTTTGGAGGACAATAAATTAAATATAAATATTTCTGGGATCAAGATTTTAAGAGTTAATGATACAGAACTCATTGGGTCTGAGAGGAATAATAAGACTTTACTTCTAATCTCTGTATTCTTTTGATCCTTATATTCCTATAATTGCTCTTTTTTTAAAAAAAATTAATTCTTACCTGAGGACACACCCATTGATTTTTGAGAGAGGGGAAGGGAGGAAGAGGGAGAGAGAGGGAAAAAAAAAACATCAATGTGAGAGGGAAATATTGATCAGTTGCCTCTTTTATGCCCTGACCACGGATCAAACCTGTAGCCTAGGTATGTGCCCTGACCAGTAATTGAACCCACAGCCTTTCAGTATATGGAACAATGCTTCCAACTGATTGAGCCACAATAGCCAGGGCTATAACTGCTCTTTTTGTTATTAATAATGACTCCCATTCATTGCCCACTTTTTTATATCACCTGACACTGCATAATAATCTCATTTATTTGCACAGATAACCTCATTTAATTCTCACAGTATCCTCGTGGGGAAGGTGCCATGTTTTATTCTCATTTCACAGTTGAGACAGCTGAGACTTAAGAAAGTTAAATCAAGCATGGTTCTAGGTTCTGACATTACCAAAAAGGCTGGCGACGAGGTCAGGCAATCTTTGAATTCTTTACTATCACTGCCTACATCATCTCTAACATGTTGGTGCTAAGATTCCTTCCCTTAATCCGCTTCTCATATCATCATAATTAAAGGGTATCTTTAAATTAAATTTAGGATAATTTAGAAGGAAGAATTCTTAAATCCTTGTTTTAAATTTATTACTCATAGTCTTTTTTAAAAGTGTTTTTTTACCCAACTCCTTTCATTTCCTTTTCCTAAGAAGTAGGAAAGATATGAATTTATTCCTGTTATTATTTTTCAAGGAGATAGAGAAAATAGACATGAACTCCTGGAAGGAAAGCTGAACTGTTGTAACAATAAACTCAGCCACTGTGATATCTTGTTTTTTTCAACCAGCAGCCTGGCTGTCTCTTTCTTTGTTTGTCCTTTTTGTGCCCCCTGCAGTTTAAACAATGCACAGTGAAAAGGGAGTCCACCATGAAGAACACTGAATAAAAGACAGATATATAAAGGCAGGCTATTTGAGCAAACATGCCACATACTATACTCTAGTATAAGTTCTCTTGGTAGATTTTCTTTAACCCCCTTCCACTGTTAGGTGAAATTTGCCAGACTCCGTGCCAACCCCAACCCCAACTTCCTTCTTATAACGTGCTCAGGGTTAAGTCTGTAGCACTCTAATCCAGAGGAAAATGACATTTTAAAAGCAGTGAAAACACTGCATTCCTTTGGCACAGGATGAAGAGCAGCTCAGCTCTTCAGTCGTAGATCATTGTCCATTGTTCTCCAAACAGTCGACCACTATTTCACACCAAGAGACTGTGGGCTGCAGTTCCGAGTCCTGGGCTCCTCATGAATGTGAAGTAAAGGGCTCTGACCCAGAAAGTGGTAGGTAATTTTTTTTTAAAAGGACAGGTAGGATGAAAAACAGGCTTAATGTAATTTTACACTCTTGAAATCTCCTGCAGGTTCTCAGCAGGGTAAAATGGGGTCTCGGAAATGTGGAAGCTGCCTAAGTGGTCTGCTAATTCCGCTTGCACTCTGGAGTATAATTGTGAATATATTATTGTATTTTCCAAATGGGCAAACCTCCTACGCATCCAGCAATAAACTCACCAACTACGTTTGGTATTTCGAAGGAATCTGTTTCTCAGGTATCATGGTAAGTGTGACTTTACAGACTTGTGATCACAAAAAGAAGGGTTTTTAACTAACAATTTTTTGTCTCTAATTAAAAAAATAATGATAAAATTATTCTACTAATTCTGGGTGTGAGATTTGGAAGATGGATGGGGATAGAGAGGCAGGCAGTCCCTTAAGACTTGGAGAGTAGTTTTGGTTTTTAGTAAGCTGCTTGTTTATGTAGCTTTGGCAATGCAGGAAATTAGTCCTAGTAAAAGCTTGTGAGACTCTTTTTTGCCTGTAGAAATATTATGTTCTCATGAACTCTGTGTCAATATAAATTATTTAATGTGCAGTGGCATTGCTCTTTTCCAGAACAGGTTTTCTATCTGCACTCATGATTTCTCTAGCTTTGTATTAAGACAGGATGGGAAAAATGGAGACTTGGAGATTCAGACAAATTTGCATTGAAAACTAAACTCTGTCGTTTGTGCCATGAGACCTTAAGCAAATGACTCAGTGTCTCTGAACCTTAATGTTTTCATTTGGAAAGTGGGAATAATGACATTTACTTCTTGGAGAATCGTGGGGATTAAATAAAATCTCGTGGATGAATCACTCAGTACAGAGTCAGGCTTCTAGTAGGTATCCAGTGACTATTGTGATTATAAATACTTATTGAAGGATAGGTCATATCATCACTAAATAGTGCAATATTATACCCCTAATAATGGTGGTATTTTTGAAAGTTAAATCAAATTGTGCACAGTAAGAATCCATGAATGTTTTCCTGATGACTTTTCTTTAAAAAATAATAATAAATCAGCAAGCATTGTGCTATGCTCTGAATATGTAAAATAAATCAAGAGCAAATTTTTACAAAAGTAAATCATGTTCGCAACTCAGAGGAAAAGATACTTTTCCTGGTTATATTATTGCAAAAAACACATTGTACACTGTAAGCTTACTATGCCACCAATAACTAAAAGAAAACCTATTATAATCTATTTCTATACCTTTGTGAGTGGTTTAATTATTATATTTGAATAGTTATGTTGGAAAATAGTTTTCATTTTGTTATTATTTGCATATTAAATTAGTAAACTTTAAAATATTAATGCCCAAAGCTATTGAAGCTGCCATGTGATAGGTACATAACAAATTGTGGTCATGGTTCCATAAATGAATGCAAACTTTTGGAGAAGATTATTGAATAGTGCCTTAAGAGCTACAAAAATGCTCTGCCTTCTGAGTCAGTGCTCCTAAATCTGATCATTCATTCTAAGGAAATAATCCAAAATGAGGAAAGAGATGTATACACAGATGTTTGTGGCAGCATTATAATGGTATTATAATGGTAAATAATTAGAAGCATCATAGCATAGAAGTAGCCAAATAAACTGTTATATTCACTTTATATGATGATGAGAAATGTAATGATGAAGATCTAATAACATGGAAAGTGAACATAATTCTGTAAGTGGGAAAAAAGTTACAACAAAATTGTGAATATGTTATGATTGCAACTATGTAAAATGCACACAGGTGGGAAAACACAGGGATATGTACATAAAAACAAGTGAGGGTAGTGGAATTATGGGTACCTTTCCTCCCTTATTTTTGAGCCCCCTGTATTGCAGTTATATTTTACAACAAAAAAAGAAAGCAGTTTCTCTTTCAACACAGGTGATGCCTGTGTTTTTCTTTTGGCACAGGACTCCAGGGCCTGGGTTTTATTTCTACCAATATTATAATGAAACCTGTTACTGTGTCTGGTTTACTGTGCCTTATCTCATTTTCTCCCTCAATATGTAATTGTAGTAAATGGATGAGTTGCAAGGCATGATCGGGTTAAAATCTATTAAAATCAGTGTTAACTAATGGTTTTGAAAGGAGGGTAATATAGGAGTCTTTTCCTCATACTTATGTAAATTTAAAACTGGGGTAAGAAACTCTTCTCTATTTTTAATTGTCTGAGATCTTTGAAAAATATTATTGTTACTGCATCAAATCCTTTGAAGAGAAAACAGAATTATAGATACATAATTAAACTGATTGATAAATAAATAATGACTGAAGGAATTTGGAAACAACATGTTGACTACAAACAGTAAAAAGACGATAAACTTAGCTTCAAGATTTTGGTACAGAACAGTGGGAGTGAAGGATAGCTGGAGAGTTTGCCAGAAGCAATACATGCTCCTTAACTGCCCCATACAAAAATTATAAAAATCAAGAAATTCCAGTCTTTCCACAACAAAAATACAACCCTTTGCAAAAGGTATCAAAAAAAAAAGATGTCAGAGTGGGAGGGGTGTAAAATACATTGACTTCTTCCAGTTTATTGGCTTGAATGCATGGGGTAATTGACTTATTTTACTTTTGAATTAAGAGCTGCAGTTTCAGATTTACCATGCCTCTCACCTCCAATCCCAGACAGCAGTAAATGGAAAGAGGCTGGCAAACTACAAAGTCTGTGAATGGCTTTCCCTTGTCTTGTACAACTGGGTCAGTGAGAAAGATGTTTGCTGCCCAGATGGTATTCCCATGTCCATAGCATTTAGTCCTCTTCAATTGTTAGCTCTTGATGACTGATCAATGATGGTAATAGCTAACATATATCAATCACTTATTATGGATCAAGGACTATGTTCAAAATTTAACATACACATTATTCATAATATCCTAACAACACCATTTTTTTAGGAAGCACTTTCAAGTTTACAGTTAGAAGTTGGCAGAGCTGATTCTTTCCCAGATCTACCCGACCCAGAATCTATGCTCTGAATCATTGTGCCCTGTTTATAAGCATGCCTGGAAACTAGTCTCTCATTTCTGATATTTTTTCTCTTCCCTATTGTAGATGCTTATAGTTGCAGCAGTTCTTCTTGTTCTGGAGAGTGATAACAACTATAAATGTTGCCAGAGTGAAAACTGCAGCAAAAAATACATGGTAAGAGCAATATTTTTTTAAGATGGTTGAGGGGGCTTTGGCTTTCTTTCCTCTTACTTAGAAACACAAAAATATTAACATTATGCTACCCTCATCATGATCTTTTAAGTACAGAGCCCAAGAGTTTACTCCAAAACTAATCTTTCATTTTGTTTACAGTCTTTCCTTCACCTTTGTTCTGCTGCTGTTCTTCCAGAAATTCAGGATTTAAAGACACACGAAATTAGAAAATAAAACTACATTTTTCTAACTGGGTTTCTGTGAGTAATTTTTCTTCTTCTTAACAACTTTATCCATTAAAAAAGTACAATTCCATGAATTTTGACAGTGCATACACCCATGAAACCACCATCACAATCAAGACAGAACATTTTCATCACTCCCAAAAGACTAATATTTGATCTACTTTTTGTCTTTATAGATTGATTTATATTTTGTATCAATAGAATTATACAGTATTTGTCTTTGTATCTGACTTCTTTCATTCAGTGTGATTTTGGATTCATCTGTGTTGTTGTAATAGGCAGTGTACATTTCTAAATTAGAACCATAAAAATAATTAAAATAGAATTAATAGAAAATAATGTATTCAGATTTTCTAAGCCTATGCTGAACAAGCATGAGCTGGGCTGCTACAGTTCCATCAGTATTAATCTCCTCCTCATCATTGTCATTACTCATTCCTATTGGCATATCACTTCACAACTTACATTTATCCAGTGAATTAGATCATTCTTACTCCTATTTTATAAATGAGGTCCTCATGGCTCAAAGAAAGCATGTGATTTATTAACGAGGAGGAGATTTTCCAGAGGTCTGGTGGGCATTCTTTGCAGCAGTGGTTTCACACTTAGGCTGCACATTGCAATCATGCAGGTGTTTGGAGGTGGAATCCCAGCCCCAGGGTGGTTTACGAGGTACAACCAGATTTTAATGCATAGCCATGATACTTTTCTAACTAATGCTTTTATAAGATTAAATTAGTTGCTCAATTTAGCACCGTGTCTTTGGTGAAGAGTTGAAAAATTAAATACATTCGTACATGTGTGCGTTCACATGCGTGTGTTTTCTTAACCAACTGACTCAAATATATATCCCCAGTAGCTACTGGAAGTATACTTATGAAAAAGCTTTCAGAATTGTCTAGGTGAAGGAATGGATTCAGGTAAAATTAAGCTATGAAACTCGAGAAATTTCTAGATAATAAGTGTATGTGCTAATAAAAAATCAATGTGTTCAATTTGCTATAACTCAGTATTAGCATCTCCAGCACAAATGGATGCTATAAATAGGCTGGAGCCTGAACAGAGTCTTATAATCATCAGTGAGTGAGATGACTGCCATCTGAATGGGAAAGCAGGAGAAAGGAAGACAGGCTTCCCTGGATTCCCAGCTTGGCTCTTTCAAGGTAGGCTCTAGAATAGAAGGTCCAACTCTTGTGTCCTTAGGAGCCAACTATCTGATGGAAAAGAGTGGTTGGTAGGCATTATAGAAAAATTTCCATTGAAGGAGGAAAGGGAGCTGCTACTCTAGTCCAGCCAATTCTTACCATGACAAAATTTGGCAATGATTCTGTTTTTAATAAAAAGTAGAAATATGAATTTTTACCTAAAACCTCTCAACTATAAAATGTTAGCTATGAATTCTCATTTAAATTGAATAAAGCACACCTCGCAGGCCAAATCTGAGTCTGTATCAGTTTGTAACTTCTGAAGCTCCAGAATGGAAATTGAAGTCACCCAAGATTCACTTTTTAGGGAGCAAAGTTGTCCTTGACCTTCTTAAAGGTCCCTGGCTGTGTCTGAAAAATTAAACTGTCATGAGAGAGATTAACAAGAAAAAAAGCATACACATTTTATTAAATTTTTACATGTACATGATATTTTTCATAAGAGAATAAAGACTTAAAGAAATAGCTGGAACATCAGGCTTTTATATCACCCAAGGACATTTTTTTCTGTTGCTTTTTAGAGAAGGAGAAAGGGAGAGAGGGAGGGAAAGAGAGAAATACCAATGCAAGAGAAAAGCATCAACTGGTTGCCTTCTGTAGATGCACATAACAGGGATCAAACTACCCATGACACTTTCGTTACGGGATGACACTATGCCCAACTCAGCCACACTGGCCACCTTTTTAAAAAATCCTCACATGAGGATATATTTCCACTGATTTTTTTTTAGAGACAGGAAGGAAGGGGGAACAAGAGAGACAGAGAGAGAAACATCAATGTGTGGTTGCCTCTCATGTGGCCCCCACAGGGGACCTGGCCCGCAACCCAGGCATGTGCCCTGACTGGGAATTGAATCTGCAATGCTTTGGTTCACAGCCCATGCTCAATCCACTGAGCTACACCAGCCAGGGCTGTTTCCACTGATTTTAGAGAGAGCGAAAGGGAGGGAGGAAGGGGAGAGAGAGAGTGTGTGAGAGAAAGAAACATCAACATGAGAAAGAAACATCAATGTGAGAAGGAAACCTCATTTACCTTTCTTATGCACCCTGACAGAGGATTGAACACATTTTGGTGCATGGTGGACTGCTCCAACCAACTGAGCCACCCAGCCAGGGTTATACCTTTTAGATAAAGATACAAATATGTGAAGAAATGGCAAGGCAGAAGGGCTTGGACTAGTAAATGGTTAAAAACTATGTAGGAAAATAAGGGTTAGTTTAATAAGGTTTATTTATATAGATTTCTCAGCCCAAAGTCCCTGTCTCTGGTGATATGAATGTCTTCCTTCCTCCTGGAAGGGAGGGTACCTTCCACATGAGAGTTATATGACTTGTTTCAGGAAAGAAAGTTTTAGGGTGTAGGGGAGCATTGGTCAGAGTGACCTTCCTGCTTCTGCCACTATTTCACACTTCTTCAGCTTAAAATATTCAATTTTCTAAAATGTCATATTTAGGGATACCATTTCTTGAATCCCATCTGAAAATTCTCCCCAAAAGTCTCATATCCACAGACTCAGTAAATTTTCCCATTACCCATCGGTGCAGTATCTCAGTCTGGGGCATTTCTATGGAAGAGCAAAGGTTAATGGTTAGAGCAAACTATAAGCTCTGTTTTTAAGTCCAGAGAACAGCCAGTTAAGAAGATTTTTACATGTTGGACTCCAAGCATCTTCAGATAGAATAGTGGCAGGCAACGGTAATCTGACAGATTTTCCTGGTTTGCAGTTGAATGTCCCTGCGAAGTTATCAGGTGTTCTGGTAAAATAACTGAGTAGCACACACAACAACAGGCATGAATAGTGACTAAAAGTCAGGATGGGATAAAATTGGGAGCTTTAATTTGTGGAGTTGTAACCAGATTTTGGAGGAAACTACAAAAACTTAGCATCCAGTCTAGTTTACAGGTTGATAACCAAACCTCAAAAACAATGAACAGGACCAGAATATGATCTCTGCAAGGTGTTGTTTATAGTTCTCTACTAAAACATTTTTTAGTAATCACCCCCATTTCTATCAGAGCTAATCAAAGTAAAACTAATTTCTCTGCAAAACAGCCATAAACATGTTTCCAATTTTATCCCATCCTGACTTTGAATCAGTGAGAACTAAAACTGTCCTTTCCTGAAATCCTACAAGCTAAAGTTGGACAACTTGATAGAAACTTCAAAGAAATCACCACAATAGTCTCATTAAATTTGACCTTGTTATTTTGTAAGTGCAGCAAAAATAGTGATGATTATGTAGGCTATTTTAAAGTTTGCTTACTGAACCTTTTCATAACACAGATTAGACTTAAAAGTCTCAGAGTTAAGAAGCCAGCCAAGGACTTGCCATTTGACTTTGCCTGCAATACCTATAGATTTAGGTTAATTTCTTTCTCCTTTTTTAAAAATATATTTTATTGATTATGCTATTACAGTTATCCCATTTCCCCCTTCACTCCCCTCCACCCTGTACACCCTCTCCCACCCACATCCCCCACTTTAGTCATGTCCATGTGTCATACTTACAAGTTTTTTAGCTTCTACATTTCCCATTCTATTCTTACCCTCCCCCTATCTATTTTCAACCTACATTCTATGCTACTTATTCTCTGTACCTTTTCCCCCTCTCTCCTCCTCCCACTCTCCTGTTGCTAACCCTCCATGTGATCTCCATTTCTGTGGTTCTGTTCTTGTTCTAGTTGTTCGCTTAGTTTCTTTTGGTTTTGCTTTAGGTGTGGTTGTTAATAATTGTGAGTTTGCTGTCCTTTTACTATGCATGTTTTTTCTTTATCTTCTTTTCTTAGATAAGTCCCTTTAACATTTCATAAAATAAGGGCTTGGTAATGATGAACTCTTTTAACTTGACCTTATCTGGGAAGCACTTTCTCTGCCCTTCCATTCTAAATGAAAGCTTTGCTGGATAGAGTAATCTGGGATATAGGTCCTTGTCTTTCATGACTTGGAATATTTCTTTCCAGCCCCTTCTTGCCTGTAAGGTCTCTTTTGGAGAAATCAGCTGACAGTCTGATGGGAACTCCTTTGTAGGTTACTGTCCCCTTATCTCTTGCTGCTTCTAGGATTCTCTCCTTCATTTTTACCTTGGCTAATGTAATTATGATGTGCCTTGGTGTGTTTCTTCTTGGGTCCACCTTCTTTGGGACTCTCTGAGCTTTCTGGATTTCCTGGAAATCTATTTCCTTTGCCAGAATGGGGAAGTTCTCCTTTATTATTTGTTCAAATAAGTTTTCCACTTGTTGCTGTTCCTCTTCCCCTCCTGGTACCCCTATAATTCAGATGTTGGAACATTTAAAGATGTCCTGGAGGTTCCTAAGCTTCTCCTCATTTTTCTGAATTCTTATTTCTCCATTCTTTCCTGTTTGGTTGTTTCTTTCTTCCTTCTGGTCCACTCTATTGTTTTGAGTCCCAGTTTCCTTCCCATCACTATTGGTTCTCTATGCATTTTCCTTCATTTCTTTTATGGTAACCTGCATTCGTTCATCTAATTTGCGCCCAAAATCAACCAATTCTGTGAGCTTCCTGATCACCAGTGTTTTGAACTGTGCATC